GGGAAAGAGAACCTCAGTGAGAGGACGAGACCGGAGTGGCTGTCCCCTGTATGTTTCAATTGAGTACAACTTTCCAAAGTTCATTTAACACTGTTTTTTGAAGGACGGTGATTTCCATTTAATCTCTTGGTCTTCCAGAATCAAATTAGTACCTTTTGGAGCTTTAATAGTGAGTTTGCTGCTCCACAGCAAAGAAAACATAAGGATCAGGGTAAAGGAGAAATGGGAGCAAAGGAGTTTTGCCTTTGAATGTGGATTTACGGGCTATTTCCACTGTAGGCATGAGGGGTAAGCTTTGTAGGGACTATGGTCATAGATGGTCAGTTATCTGTACCACAGAGAAAATGTATCTTCTCCTTTTTCTTTATTAGCAGAATTAATCAGAGAACTATGTAGTTATTTGACTGGTAATCTATGAGGAAAATGTGTTAATCAGAAACAGCGCAAAAATAGAGGGGACTGCATCTCACTTTTATTAAAACTTGTCTCTTTTTATTTAAATCATGACTTCACAGTTTTAAGACTAAATCACAGGATTTGATTTAGTAGGTGAGCAAAATATGACAGATTCTGTTATCCTTGCAAGAGACATGATGGGGAAGAGACTGAAGTAATTAGGAAAACTTTTGTTCATACTTTTAATATAAACTTGTTTAACAGCATACATGGAACTTGCTTGGTAGTTTATGCTAAGTTCAAGCACCATCAAGGGCACCACATTTCCTTTACCTGAGTCGTAAAAGCTACAGCTTCCTTATTTTCAAAGAACCTGACTTCATGATTGCATATTGATGTGAAAATGCATCAAAAATGCAAAAAATCAGTTAAAAAACTAGATAATTGCTCAGAATGTACATTCACTTGTTTTCTGAAATTTTGATTCAGAATAATTTTCCTCCCTCAATTACATAGGCATGATAGTGAGTCAACTATTAATATAAAAGTCTGACGTTTTCAGTTAATTGGCTACAAAGTTGTCAGAAAAAGAACTGGAGATGGATTTTACCTCTGCATCATCAGTGCTGTCCCCAGTACACACCACCATGTTCCCACATGCAGGTACGCTCACCTGTGTATGCACACGGGAACACATGAACGGAAACACCAGTACTGGTATAACAGATCTGGCCTGTGTTTGAGGTTACTGCCTACTCATGATTATTTATCAGTTATTACAACACCATCTGTTTGCATAACACCTTACAAAATAGATACAGACACCGTCCTTGCCCTGAGGAATTTGAAATGTAACAGCAGTGTGCAGTGTGGGAGAAGAAAGTCCAGTATAATGTAATTTCAATATGATTACACGGTAACTCGGGAGACTGTTGCATGTTTCGTGAGAGTTAACAGAGTAATCTGCAGAAACTCATGAGATTTACACACCCCTTATGCCATAATTTCACATCATGTGGTTACTTGTGCTGTGCATTTTGGAGAAATGCTATTTCATGGAAACGTTAAAAAAAAAAATGTTTTAAGAATTATGTTTTTCTGATCTTTTTTGCCTGTGAAGTAGGCTTGCTTTATTTATCATGCATGTACAGGCAATGTAGTGAAAGAAAAACTAGGTCTAATGCATTTTTAAAAAACTCTAAAATAACTTTTCTCTGTATAAAGTTGCTGCAGTTTTAGGGTCCAATATGCTGCAATCTGCCAAGACAGACATACATTCTTTCTTCCAGAAGGCTGGGAATCATTCCAAGGGGTTTTTTTTTGTTTCTTGTCATGCTTTTTAAGTTATCTACAAGTTGTACTGGTCAATTTTCGTACTTCATCGGCATATTTCTAATGTTTTATCTTGTCTGTGTCCTTCACTAATATAATGTTAACTTTATTCATAATTGAGAAAATCAGTTGTTTTTTTTTATAGGGAGAAAATATCTGGGAGGACTGGAAAGTGTTCCTAAAGAGCTGCATAACTAGTTTGAAAACGTGAAGTAGACTGTGCAATACACATGCAGCTTATATCATTATTTTGCTGTTTATTCAGTTGTTGAAAGAAACAGGATATTCTCCTGTTTGTATTTGCATCATATTAGGAAGCCAGGAAGTAAATTATGAACTACACATAGCATTATAAAGCATAGGGGATTTAATGTATTATTGATAACTGAAGAAGATAAACAGTACAGCATGTCCTAAAAGAGGTAAATAGGGGATGATACATTCTAGGAACACCCTGGAATAAACATTGGAGTGTTTTTTGCAAACAGATTTGGAGTCTGCAAAGCGAAAGATAATTTTTACACCATTACAGGAAAGTAAGAGAGATGGTTTCAACAAAAATTCTAGTGGACATTTACCCATCTCAATTAACCTCTATATGTCTTGGCACTCTTGTCAGTCTCTCTCCAAAGCAGTCCAGGACTGAAATAGGAAAGTGTTATAGGTCAGGATGAGGGGCACTTGCAGAGTTATGTGGA